GGAAAGGTGTCTAGAACTTCCCCGCCGGGCCCTACCCCCCAACCTAGAGTAGCTAGGTGTGGAAGTAAAATTAATCCTTGTTCATACATAGGCTTCTCTGGTCCGAAATGAGCTACTTCAAATAAATTCATTGCTCCAGCCCAAAATACTATTAATCCAGCATGGGCTACATGGGCCCCCAGTAGTTTACCGGATAAATTTATAAGTCGGGCATTCCCCGCCCACCAAGCGAAACCCGTGGTTTCTTGATCCCGACCAGTAAAGTCTAAAGTTCGATTAAAGAGCGTTTCCACGTGGTAGAACCTCCTCAGGGAATATAAGGTTTTCATGAGGCTGATCTTGAGCGGCCATCCAAGCACGAATACCTTCATTTAATAGAATATTTTTTGTGTAGAAAGTTTCAAATTCGGGATCTTCTGCTGCCCTAATTTCTTGAGAAACAAAATCATAGGCACGTAGGTTCAGGGCTAGGCCAACTACTCCCAGAGAACTCATCCATAAACCGGTTACGGGTACAAATAACATAAAGAAATGTAACCAACGTTTATTTGAAAAAGCAACCCCGAATATTTGGGACCAAAATCTATTAGCAGTAACCATTGAATAAGTTTCTTCAGATTGAGTTGGGTTAAAAGCGCGAAATGTATTTGCGCCATCGCCGTCTTCAAATAAAGTATTTTCCACGGTAGCACCATGAATAGCACATAGCAAGGCAGCGCCTAGTACACCGGCAACTCCCATCATATGAAAAGGGTTCAATGTCCAATTATGAAACCCTTGAAAAAACAGGATGAATCTGAATATAGCTGCTACACCAAAACTCGGTGCAAAGAACCAACCAGACTGACCTAATGGATAAATCAAGAATACAGAAACAAAAACAGCAATTGGAGCAGAAAATGCGATCGCGTTATAAGGTCGCAATTGAACGGATCGGGCAAGCTCAAATTGGCGTAACATGAAACCTATTAGTCCGAAAGCTCCGTGGAGAGCAACAAAAGTCCACAAACCTCCTAATTGACACCAACGAGTAAAATCTCCTTGCGCTTCAGGACCCCATAGTAACAACAAAGAATGGGCTAAACTATTAGCAGGAGTAGAAACTGCGGCAGTTAAGAAATTACACCCTTCTAAATAGGAACTAGCCAATCCATGGGTATACCATGAAGTTACAAAGGTTGTACCTGTGAACCAACCGCCTATAGCGAAATAGGCACAAGGAAAGAGCAATAAGCCGGACCAACCGACAAAAATGAAACGATCCCTACGTAACCAGTCATCCATATTATCAAATAAATCCTTGTCGTCTTTGGTAAATTTACCAAGAGCTATAGTCATAGTTATCCTCCTATTCAACTACGTTGACCATTTCCGAGCACCGCATAGCATTTTTGGGACATCTGAATATTTTTATCATTGCGATATGATTTATCTTGGATCGCCCCTTCCCATCGGTTTCGAAGATCCAATTTTTTTGGAAATATTTGAATGATTGGTCCATAAATGGTATAAAGAAATCCATGAACTTACTTGGATTCTTCTTTTGAGAACTTATCCTTGCATTCTGAATAGCTAATACCCATTTCATTGGATAGATCCATCCATATAAAAAAAAATGTTCTCAGACTTATTTCCTCATTTTCATTAGTATTATATAATGATAATGAAAATGAATTATTGCACTTTTATATCTTTTTCTCTCTATCTAATTTGAATATCATATATCATAATAGCGACTTTAGCCATTCTTACATGAGTCAGATCCACTTTAGTTTCCTTGGTTGTCATAAAAAAAAATAATAATATTTTAGGATTTCAGAATTGATAGCTCTTTTTTTTATTTCTTTTTAGATTTGATAACTTTAGTATAGAGTATAATATATAATTCAAATAATTAAATATAAACAAAAGTTAAACTTTTATTTCAAATCTAAAAAAATGCAATAATATTCATGATCAGGATAAGATATTATCCATTTATTTATTCTTATTACATAAAAAAAGACTTAAATGAGCCCCTTAGCGGATTTGAACCGATGACTTACGCCTTACCATGGTGTTACTCTACCACTGAGTTAAAGGGGCGTATTCCATTGAATTCCTAATATATTAAGAAAATCCAGAAAATAGACATCTATAAAAGATATATAGCTAGTCTATTGATATGAAATTTCATATTATGAATTTCAATAATAATGTAGATTCGGATAGATATGAATATTTCATATTATAAGAATCTTAATTGAATTACATGGAATAAAGAAAGACATCGGAGCCTACATTTTGAAATAGAACTACTTATTGGGCGGAGTAGATTTTAAAAATTGATCCAAAAATAGGAAAATACTAGATTTCTAATCGGGGTTCTAATCAAAGATTGCTTAATGGGAAATCAAAAAATTGAAAAACATAAATGATTAGAAAGGCAAAGGTCCGTTAGAATATTTAAATATTTTACATCTATTGACAATTTAAAAAAAAAGGTTCCTGCTATCACATCATAGTATGAGGTTGTGTTGAACAAGTGGGCCCCCATCGTCTAGTGGTTTAGGACATCTCTCTTTCAAGGAGGCAGCGGGGATTCGAATTCCCCTGGGGGTAGGGTACTTTGAAAGGAAGCTTCTAATGGATTCATTACAAAGTTGAGTAGTAATTTGGTTTTTCCTGGGTCGATGCCCGAGTGGTTAATGGGGACGGACTGTAAATTCGTTGGCAATATGTCTACGCTGGTTCAAATCCAGCTCGGCCCAATCATTCGCAAATCCCAATAAGAAAAAAGAACCTGGACTTGAAAAATATCTCAGAACTATACTGATAGATAGGTCAAAAAATAAAAATTTTGACTGGATTCCTTATTTGACGGGGATTGTAGTTCAATTGGTCAGAGCACCGCCCTGTCAAGGCGGAAGCTGCGGGTTCGAGCCCCGTCAGTCCCGATGGATCCAAAGAATAAATCAATAAGGTGACTGTTTCTCATTTTTATCTTGAAGTTTTATATGGGATTAAATCCCAAGTTATTGCGAAGTAAAAAAACAACGAGATTATGGAAGTCAATATTCTTGCATTTATTGCTACGGCCTTATTGATTTTAGTTCCTACCGCCCTTCTACTTATCATTTACGTAAAAACTGTCAATAGAAATAATTAATTAGTATTTAATCTATCTTAAAATAAACTTGTCTTCTGGGTTAGATCATTATATTATTAGATAATCTTATCAGAATAAATTCAAAAATAAAAATTCTATTACAAATTTTTGAAGGTTTTAATTTTAATAAAAAGAACTGGCTCAAATCAGCACTAAAGCAGGAGACTCATAGAATAGACTAATAGTAATAGATAATATGTTAAGAAAGTACAAAATAAAGGAAGTATGCTAAATTAATCAATAGATGACTCCTTTTTTTTTAACCTAAACTATCTATTAACTATTAGCGTTCTTTTTGCTTGAATAATATGTTTTATTGAAAGATTGAAAGAGCAGAATGGATTATTCACATGTTCTGAAACATTTTATAAAAAAATGAATACATTTTTATTTACGCAACATTCATTTAGTAGAACCTCTATAGTCCACTCCTTCCCCATATTACTAGTGAAAGAGAAAAGGTAAAAACTACCATTAAAGCAGCCCAAGCAAGACTTATTATATCGATATTCATTATGTCCTCTATCATTATAACTAGTTGATTTTTACTAAGTTCCTCATCAATTATAAGAAATTCATAAGAATAGCGGAATCCCCCGCGCAGAGTACACATAAAAAAGGAAAAAAGGGATTATGATTATGGAAGATGACCCAAAAAGAAAATGCAAAATATGCGAAACTGCAAAAGGATCTGGCCTTATTTTCCTCATTTAAGAAAAATAGCAATCCATATACAAATATAAAAATCGCTAATTCTCATTCCGATCTAATCTGGCATCCTCCATATGATTATATAGGAGCTAGGAAACGACGGGATAGAGGTTATTCTGTTTACGATCAAAAAGGGTTTGAACATAATAATTCAAACAAGTAGTATGCGGAATTGTCCTTTTCCTTTATAGGAATCCTATGAACAACAAGATATTTCAAATTCTTTATAATCAGGCGACACCCGGATTTGAACTGGGGAAAAAAGGATTTGCAGTCCCTCGCCTTACCACTCGGCCATGTCGCCAAAAGGATACAAAAACTTTGGGAACGACTTTTTTGATTGTACTTGTTTCTTTCTTTTCTCCTAAAAAAATACTGTGAGTTTATTCCACTTTATTTTTTTTTTTATTTTATTTGAGCCATCTAACTACAAATATAAAAAATATAAAAAAGTGTCTTTTAGTTGAATCAAAATCTTTTTTCTAAGATACTATAAAAAAGATTTTCAAATTATTTTTTTTATTATCTATGAAATTCTTAGAAATTCCTAAATCTTTTTTATAGTTCAGATATGGAGTTCGATACAATTTCATGTGATTCAGTAAAAACAATAGAAATTTCCTCATTAAGAAATCATCTATTTTCTTAGCTATTAGATGAAGGATTCATAAAGTTTCATAAAATCAATATAAATAATAATAAAGAAAATAAAAAGGAATTAAAAAAAAAATGCTTGTAGATGTAAAAAAGGGCGGAGTTACTACAATCCCTGGATTGAATCAGATACAATTTGAAGGATTTTCTAGGTTTATTGATCAAGGTTTAATGGAAGAACTTTCTAAGTTTCAAAAAATTGAAGATCTAGATCACGAAATCCAGTTTCATTTATTTGTGGAAACATCTCAATTGGTAGAACCGTTGATCAAGGAAAGAGATGCTGTGTATGACTCACTAACATATTCTTCTGAATTCTATGTATTGGCAGGATTAATTTGGAGAGCAAGTAAGGATCGATCTACACGTATGCAAGAACAAATCATTTTTCTTGGCAGCATTCCTCTAATGAATTCCCTGGGAAGTTTTATAGTAAATGGAATCTATAGAATTGTGATCAATCAAATACTACAAAGCCCTGGCATTTATTATCGGTCAGAATTGGACCATAACGGAATTTTGGTTTACACCGGCACAATAATATCAGATTGGGGAGGAAGATTAGAATTAGAAATTGATAGAAAAGCAAGAATATGGGCTCGTGTGAGTAGGAAAAAAAAAATATCGATTTTAGTGCTATCATCAGCTATGGGATTAGATCTAAGAGAAGTTATAGATAATGCCTGTTATCCTGAAATTTTTTTATCTTTTCTGAGTGATAAGGATACAAAAAAAAATTGGTTCAAAAGAAAACGCGATTTTGGAGTTTTATAAAAAATTCGCTTGCGTAGGCGGTGATCCGTTAGGGTATGAATACTTATGTAAGGAATTACAAAAAAAATTTTTTCACCAAAGATGTGAATTAGGACGGCTTGGTCGACGAAATATGAACCGAAGACTTAATCTTGATATACCCCAGAATAATACTTTTTTGGTACCACGAGATATATTAGCAGCCGCCGATCATTTGATTGGACTCAAATTTGGAATGGGTACACTTGATGATATGAATCATTTGCAAAATAAACGTATTCGGTCTGTAGCGGATCTTTTACAAGATCAATTCGGATTAGCTCTCGTTCGTTTCGAAAATGTCGTTAAAACCACTATATGTGAAGCAATTCGTCATAAATTAATACCCACTCCTCAGAATTTGGTAACTTCAACTCCCTTAACAACTACGTATGAATCTTTTTTTCGGGTTACACCCATTATCTCAAGTTTTAGATCAAACCAATCCATTGACACAAATAGTTCATGCAAGAAAATTTAGTTATTTAGGACCTGGAGGGCTGACAGGACGCACTGCTAGTTTTCGGATCCGAGATATTCACCCTAGCCACTATGGGCGTATTTGCCCTATTGACACATCAGAAGGAAGCAATGTTGGGCTTATTGGATCCTTAGCAATTCATGCGAGGATTGGACGTTGGGGATCTCTAGAAAGTCCACTTTTTGAAATTTCTGAGCGATCAACAAGGGTACGGATGGTTTACTTATCACCGGGTAGAGATGAATACTATATGGTAACGACAGGAAATTCTTTGGCCTTGAATCAGAATATTCAAGAAGATCAGGTTGTTCCAGCTAGATACTGTCAAGAATTCCTTACTATTGCATGGGAGCAAGTTCATCTTCGAAGTATTTTTTCCTTCCAATATTTTTCTATTGGAGCTTCCCTCATTCCTTTTATCGAACATAATGATGCGAATCGAGCCTTAATGAGTTCTAATATGCAACGGCAAGCAGTTCCCCTTGCTCGATCCGAGAAATGCATTGTTGGAACAGGGATAGAACACCACGCAGCTCTCGATTCAGGGTCTCTTGTTCTAGCCGCCCACATGGGAAAGGTTGTTTATACAGATACTGACAATATATTTGTATCGGTCTCTGGCCTTGGAAAGATTCTAAGCATTCCATTAGTTGTGTATCAACGTTCAAACAAAAATACGTGTATGCATCAAAAACCTCAGGTTGAACCGGGGCAATTTATTAAAAAGGGACAAGTTTTAGCGGAAGGTGCTGCTACGGTTGAAGGCGAACTTGCTCTCGGAAAAACTTTATTGGTAGCTTATATGCCGTGGGAGGGTTATAATTTTGAGGATGCAGTCCTCATTAGCGAACGCTTGGTATATGAAGAGATTTATACTTCTTTGCACATAAGGAAATTTGAAATTAAAACTAATGTGACAAGCCAAGGCCCTGAACAAGTCACTAAAGAGATACCTCATTTAGAAGCCCATTTAATTCGCAATTTAGATATAAATGGAATTATAATGCAGGGATCTTGGGTACAGCCAGGGGATGTTTTAGTAGGTAAATTAACACCTCACGTGGTGAAAGAATCGTCGTATGCACCGGAAGATAGATTATTACGAGCCATACTTGGTATTCAGGTATCTACGTCAAAAGAAACTTGTCTCAAAGTCCCTATAGGTGGGATGGGTCGGGTTATTGATGTAAGGTGGATACAGAAGAAAGGGCTTTACAATTCTAATCTGGAAAAGATTCAGGTATATGTTTTACAGAAACGTGAAATAAAAGTGGGCGATAAAGTAGCTGGAAGGCACGGAAATAAAGGTATCATTTCAAAAATTTTGCCTAAACAAGATATGCCCTATTTACAAGATGGAAGAGCGATTGATCTGGTATTTAACCCATTAGGAGTACCTTCAAGAATGAATGTAGGACAGATTTTTGAATGTTCACTGGGGCTAGCAGGGAGTTTGCTAGATAGACATTATAGAATCGCACCTTTTGATGAGAGATACGAACAAGAAGCTTCGAGAAAAATAGTATTTTCTCAATTACATGAAGCCAGTAAAAAAACAGCGCATCCATGGGCATTTGAACCCGAATACCCAGGAAAAAGTAGAATATTTGATGGAAGAACGGGTAATACTTTTGAACAACCTATCCTAATAGGTAACGCTTATATCTTGAAATTACTTCATCAAGTTGATGATAAACTGCATGGGCGTTCCAGTGGACATTATGCGCTTGTTACACAACAACCCCTTAGAGGAAGAGCGAAACAGGGGGGGCAACGGGTAGGGGAAATGGAGGTTTGGGCTCTCGAAGGATTTGGGGTTGCTCATATTTTACAAGAAATGCTTACTTATAAATCGGATCATATTAGAGCTCGTCAGCAAGTACTTGGTACTACGATTCTTGGAGGTACAATATCTCATACAAAAAATGCTCCAGAATCTTTTAGATTGCTCGTTCGAGAACTACGATCTTTAGCTCTGGAACTGAATTATATCCTGGTATCTGAAAAGAACTTCCAGATTCATAGGAAGGAAGCTTAATCTAATCCGAACTAATAAAAATTTTTATTTTATGATTGATCGATATAAACATCAACAGCTGCGAGTTGGATTGGTTTCTCCTCAACAAATAAGTGCTTGGGCCAGTAAACTTTTGCCAAATGGTGAAATAGTTGGCGAGGTAACAAAACCTTATACTTTTCTTTATAAAACAAATAAACCAGAAAAAGATGGATTATTTTGTGAAAGAATATTTGGGCCTATCAAAAGTGGAATTTGCGCGTGTGGAAATTATCGAGTTATCGGAGATAAAAAAGATAAACCCAAATTTTGTGAACAATGCGGAGTTGAATTTGTGGATTCTCGGATCCGAAGGTATCAAATGGGCTATATCAAACTAGCCTGCCCAGTAACTCATGTGTGGTATTTAAAACGTCTTCCTAGTTATATTGCGAATATTTTAGATAAACCTCTTCAAGAGTTAGAGGGCTTAGTATATGGCGATGTGTGATTTGATCGAAATTTTGATTTTACAGATTCAGAACAAGAAACTGTTATCCCAGTTAATCCAATTGGGATGCCCTAGACCTGACATGTGAATTGGAAAGCAAAACATGAAGCTCAGAATTGGGATGTAGTAATTACACTTCCACAAAAAAAAAAGGGAGTTGATCTATGGTTGATTTCATTCCAAATCAAATAAATAGGATTTTTTCTTTGTACCTCGTAAAAAAAAAGAAACTTTTTTGTTTTGTTGAATGAACCTTAAAATTTCCTATTTCCTCTCATTTGGAAATTCAAGTAAGCAAATTAGGGCATGGTTATAGGAGTTTATTGATCGCATATAGGCTTTAGTAAAAAGGGCTTAGCGTCCGCCTAACCATCGAGATATATATAGTGGGGCCTAAAAGATCAAATGGAACAATCTAGAGACAAGTAAATCCCTTATTAATTCTAAATTACTACTTTACTAATATGGCGTTTCCTTATTAATACGTAGTGGATTCATTGTTCGAGGGGAAGGAGACTACTCAAAAATTTTACATTTCATTTATGTTGTAATTGAACTTAAAGAATTCCCAAATTAGAATAAGACTCAATTCAATATAAATCAAAAATGAAATAGTACGGGTTATATATTGCTTTGCCATCAATGGAAACTTGAGTAAGGAGTAGAACTTTTTATCTTTTGAATTTGGGGTTGTCAATAATTTGAAACGAAGAGATACTTGTGTTTCTTTTCTTCTTTATTGTTTACTTCATGTACCTACTTGAGCCGGATGAAAGAAAACATTCACGTCCGATTTTGAGGGGGGGAACTCTTATAAAATCCTATCCCAATTTTTCTTTTGCTAGGCCCATAACTAAAAAACCCACTTTCTTACGATTACGGGGTTTATTCAAAGATGAAATCCAATCGTGGAAATATAGCATTCGACTTTTTTTCAATACTCAAGGTTTCAATACATTTCGAAATCGAGAAATTTCTATGGGGGCCTGTGCTATCCGAGAACAATTAGCCGATATAGATTTGCGAATGATTGCAGAAAATTCATTACTAGAATGGAAAGATTTGGGGGAAGAAAAGCGCACAGGGAATGAATGGGAAGATCGAAAAGCTACAAGACGAAAGGATTTTTTGGTTAGACGGATAGACTTAGCTAAACATTTTATTCGAACAAATATAGAACCAGAATGGATGGTTTTATGTCTATTACCAGTAATTCCTCCTGAGTTGAGACCTATTATTCAGATCGATGGGGGGAAACTTATGAGTTCAGATATTAATGAACTCTATCGAAGAATTATCTATAGGAATAATACACTTACCAATCTATTAAAAACAAGTAAATCTACGCCAGATGAATTAATAATATGCCAGGAGAAATTAGTACAAGAGGCTGTGGATACACTTCTTGATAATGGAATCCGCGGGCAACCAATGAGGGATGGGCACAATAAAGTCTACAAATCAATTTCGGATATAATTGAAGGCAAAGAGGGAAGATTCCGTGAAACTCTGCTTGGTAAACGAGTTGATTATTCAGGACGTTCTGTTATTGTCGTTGGCCCCTCGCTTTCATTACATCAATGTGGCTTGCCGCGTGAAATAGCAATCGAACTTTTCCAGCCTTTTGTCATTCGCGATCTAATAAGAAAACATCTTGCCTCGAATATAGGGGTTGCAAAAAGGCAAATTCGACAAAAAGAATCACTTGTATGGGAAATACTTCAAGAAGTTGTGCAAGGGCATCCTGTATTGCTGAATAGAGCGCCCACTCTCCATAGATTAGGCATACAGGCATTTCAGCCCATTTTAGTGGAGGGGCGTGCTATTTTTTTACACCCCTTAGTTTGTAAGGGGTTCAATGCAGATTTTGATGGAGATCAAATGGCTGTTCATGTACCTTTATCATTGGAGGCTCAAGCCGAAGCCCGTTTACTTATGTTTTCTCATATGAATCTTTTATCTCCGGCTATTGGGGATCCCATTTCCGTACCAACTCAAGATATGGTTATTGGACTTTATGTATTAACGAATGAGAATCGTCGAGGTATTTGTCTTAATAGGGCAACTAAATGTAATACACGAAATCAAAGCAGTGACAATCGTAATTATAAGTATAAAAATGAACCCTTTTTTTGTAATTCCTATGATGCAATTAGAACTTATCGGAAGAAACAAATAAATTTAGATAGTCCTTTGTGGCTCCGATGGAGACTCGATCAACGCGCCATTACTTCAAGAGAAACTTTAATAGAAATTCATTACGAATCTCGAGGGACTTATTATGAGATTTATGGACACTATCTAATAGTCCGAAGTATAAGAAAAGAAACTCCTTTTTTATATATTCGAACCACTGTTGGACATATTTCTCTTTATCGTGAAATTGAAGAAGCTATCCAAGGATTTTCTAGGGTCTGGTCGAGACCTAACAGAATTTGATGATATAAATACCAACGGTAATTTGGGGCTCCCCGATTTAACTAGGACCTGAGCTACGGAATTTCTACGTGAATAAAGATCCAGAAAAGTAAGTTTTCAAATCATTGACTAAAATTCATTGTCTTGCCGAATCCTACTTAGCCAAACAAGGAGGTACTTATGGCAGAACGGACAAATCTGGTCTTTCACAATAAAGTGATAGACGGGACTGCCATGAAAGGATTTATTAGTAGATTAATAAATCACTTCGGAATGGCATATACATCACATATCCTGGATCAAGTAAAAAATCTGGGTTTTCAACAAGCGACTACTGTATCCATTTCATTAGGAATTGATGATCTTTTAACAATACCTGCCAAGGG